CCGCCAACTCCATGGGGGTCAGTGGTGACAAGTGGAAGAATAAACACAAAGCCGTCGTAATCTAGGCTGGGAAACCTGTTGAACACAGCAACGCTGGGAGGCTGGTACAGGTAAGTGAACAAAGCCAGAGTCCCCCTGCAGGAACGCGTACCCCGGAGACCGCCAGAGCCCCCTGCAGGAACGCATATCCCGGAGACCGTCCTCTGCCCTATCTGCACTGCCTGCCGCTGTCTGTATTAGGCAGAGTGGTACTTGACATGCCCCAGCCAGCGCGGCAGAGCCCAGCTTTGAGGGCCGTGGCAGGTGATTTCAGAGGTCCGGAATGTCAGATAGGCTTATCTAGACCAGGAGATAGCAGCCTGCCCTGCCAGCTGCCCCCTCCCACCCCACCTCCCTGCCTCCTGTTGTGCTCGGCTTTGGAAGCTCAGCGGCCACTTGTACCCCTCAAGCCTGGGCCACCCACCGCTGGGAGCCGCTGCAGAGGCAGAGGTGGGCAAGGGTCACGGTCAGGAACAAAAGGTATGCGGTTTGGATGGATACAAAATATCCATCCATCCATCAGGGGGTGTCACTGGGGATGCTCACAAAATACAGACATTTCCTCCTCACGAGATAACCCAACAGTTTTCATTTTATAGGCTGGCCCCATTCCTGCTGGTGACAAGAGTCCATGAGTCATTTCCTGCATGCATGTTTTTATGATGTACAAATGCCTTCTGGTCTGCATTGGTTGTCTGTGATCACTGAGCAACCCCATGGAGGGTGGTAGAAAGAACCCTGGATCGGGAATCCAGGCTCGTCTCCAATGGTCCCCCAGGTCCTCTGTTTGACTACGAGACCCTCTCTTCACAGCCCGGCCCTGGGAGGCCGTTCTTTGCGGGTCTCCTCCTTCATCCATCTATTCGGCTCTGCCTGGCTCTCACCCTCTCCCCACCCACACCTTCGTTCCTCTTACACAGCAACACACTCTCCCTGGAATACAGCTCTCTGCCTTGTGTTCCCTCAGCTAGGCCAGGCAAACTTCTTCTCATATGTCAAGCTCCAAATCATACCTTCTCTTCCAGGAAGCATTCCGGGACTGCTCCAGTCAGGCTCAGTCATTGCTTTTCTCTACTTCTGCAGAACAGTGGACGCACCTGTCTCATACACTTAGGATATTTATGAAAATAATGGCTAAGTATTTGCTGATCACTTATGGTGTACTAGGCAGTGTTCTAAATACTTCACAAAGATTGCCTTAGTTAGTGCTCACAGCAACTCCATGAGAGAGGGACCATCTTCATTTTATAGAGAACACTACTGAGGATCAGCGATTTAAGTAGCCTGCCCAAGGCCACAGAGCTAGTTCGTGGCTGACTGGTACCTAGACAAGTGCCTGGCACACAGCAGCTGCTCAAAAATTATTCACCTCCTGAATGATTAAATAAGTTAATAAATACAGAAACAATGTTTCTGTCTCACGAACTGCTCAGAGCCACTTCTCATTCTTTCAAACCACCTCCCCGTCAGGTGCCTAGCAAGGCACAGAGCACCAGAAACATCTGCTGAATGAATGAACAAAAGCATATTAGCACGCACCCATCAACAGAGTCCAAATCCTGATAAAGCCACCCTCTAGCTTCAGATCAATAGCTTCAGGTTCCTGGGCCCCTCTATGTCACCTGTCAAATGGAGAGATGGTACACAACATCCTCTCAAAATATGTCCTTCTGACATTAGGTACATATAGAACAAAAGATCAGACGTTATGATTTCAGGATGATGGCAATTCCCGTATCAAAATTTGTATTGTATTGTTTTGTTTTCCTTCTGGGCTGTTTTCCCCAAAGAACATTACACAATTGGATTTGACATTTGATTGGGGTACTGCCCTGATGCAGAGCCAATATTAGTCCTAAAAGAGTTAATTTGGCTTGGTCCTTTGTTCACTCTATCCTTAGCAAAACAGGTCACACCCAAGGAAAGAATTGTTAAGTGCCTGACAAAACCCTCATAACTAATCAATAATGAACCATGATCCCAAGTTAGATTATGCAACTGACACCTAAGCCACTGCTCTTATGACATTGTAGGTCCTTCTCCCTGTCCCCTGGCACCCCCAGCAGAGGCTTTCTTCTCCAAACAGATGCTGGTCAATCTCCCCCAACCACCACTGCCAACATACATGCATGCATGCATATATACGTTCACACACACACTCACATGCTTGTGAAATGCTAAAGCCCAAACCCACTCCAGATGGTGCGGAGATGTCCACAACAATGGAAAGGTGAGGGTTCTGGCTGAATTCCATTTATTTCTACTCTACCTGTGGCTAGCCAGGAGCTTGGCTATGTGCCTGATACCTGACACACCTGTGCTATATGTCAGTACCAATGGTCATCCACGTGCATGCTAATACCCAGCATTTCTTGTTTGGCTAATGCTCAGCAAAAACTACTACACCCAAGGATACCTAAAAGAGGTGTGTGAGTGAGACAGTGTCTGTTCATGTTAAAAGAGAGGGAGGACCCATGTTCTGTGTTTTGTTTGACTCACAACAAGGACTACAAGCTCTAGGCTCTTAGAGCTGAGTATTAACCATCCACATGAATCCAATATGGTGAGAGACTATACCATAACCAGAATGCACATAAACAGTCCCTATAGAGGACACCTGTTATTCATCCATCTCACACCTCTATGAAATTGGGAACCTGCTCCTCCCTCATGTCAATCATGTGATGCTTGAAAGGGCTACCAAAGACAGTAGCCAGTTCTCCTGGTTTGGGCACAATAATTGGTCCAGGGACAGCCCAATCAGAATCCTTCCCTGAGATTTTATTCAATATTGAGCAGGAGGAGAGAGAGTCTAGCCTTTGGGTCATAGAGTTATAACGATATGAACTAGATAGAGGCCACCAACATGGAGAAAATCTGTTCGCAGGATGTTAGAATGGAGCCAACATAGAGCAAAACGTCCAAGACATAGATGGAAGGAGAGAGGCTGGTAAAGACTGTCTGGACCTTCCTGTTTATACAAGTTAATGATTCCCTTTTGTGTTTAGCTTTGAGCTGCGTTTCTCAAGTGTGTCGCGCAAGTGACCCTCATACAGTCGGAGCCGTACTTGGACCACATTTCCAAATGTGTTCCACGCTTCAGGATCTAGGTAGTTCTTAGGAGATGGGCTACCACACATGTGAAAGGTCTTTATTCTTCCTCCTATGAGGCATAAAATTCCTGAGCAAGATGCACTCTCAACTCAGCATCGCTAACTACAGATGTTAGTGCTTTCCCTTTGTTATCTCAGGCACCAGTGGTCACCTGCCAACCCCAAGAGTCCACAACGACTCTTCTATTTCAACGCATCAAAGCTTGTAAAATAAGGCCTGGCTAGACAGGGAGAGGCAACCGACCGACTGGTGATTTTTGAAAAAAAGCACATCTCCCTGCTGGTCGAGCCTCCATCACATCCCGGTGCTGGTTCATTCCCTCCACAGGTCTGTCCTCAGGATCACCAAGAGAGTCCTCTCAACAGCCAGAAACTGCTGGGCACAGGAGGCCATGGCATTTCCTCATAGAATAAGGTCTCTGAAAACCTTCCTGAGAAAACATCTTGCAGCCTGGCCACCTGACTTCTATGGGACCTTTTCAAAAGAAAGCGGTCACATGCTGTTACTGAAAAGGGTGATGCTTTGAAAACAAACAGTGCCCCCCTCTCCAAGTCTGAAGAGCTTCCCAGTGATCCAGGAGCTGGGAAGTTACATCAGCTAGGTGGGGGTAGCGCCTCGGGGACTGGTCACACCCCTTTCTCTCCTTTTTCTTTAACACTTCTGTCTCCGCTAGGAAGGGCTAAAGCTTGGCAGGTTACGGGCAGGCACTGCCTGGATGGCTAGAGCTCCAGGCTGAAGTTCTGGCCTGGTGGAATGCTCCTCCCATGCCCCATAAAGTCGCCCCAGGCTTGGAGGAGCTTTGGCAGCTGTCCCCCCGGGGGCAAGGGAAAGCAGCCGTATCCCACGGTACACTCAACAGCTCCTCATCACCAAAACAAAAACACAACAGTCCTGATCGCCATGGAGAGTTCAATCCTCTTGTCTGGGATTGGCACCAACTAAAATTCCAAGGGCTCTGGCTGAGCTACCTCCTGTGACGTCTAAATACAGCATGCTCACTTTTAACCTAAACATACAGTCTGGACCACTGCCGGGGGCTGACAGCCCCCCAGGGCCAGCCGGGAAGTCTTGACTTCTGGCTGCCCATTAGGCAATGGGCATCGGAGTGAGAGAAGAGATGTGATGCTCTGCTTACTTAGGCCACGTTCACCAATGTTGCCTATGGCCAAACAGTGGGGGAAGTAATCAGCTTGTGGAGGGTTAACTGCAAGTGTGACCCTGAGCACAGAAATGCATCCTGGGGAAGAGGGTGGGGGGGGAGAAGGGAAAGAGAGAGGGAGGAAAATGCAGTAAGGACCAAAGACCTATTTCTTAGCCAATTAAAGTCAAGGCGAAATCTTTCTACAATGTTGGCTCCCAGGGGAACGGAATTTAGGGCATAAGCTCTAGAATCAGACAGACTAAGGTTGCCTCCTTGTTGTGTGATCTTAGGCAAGATAATTGACTTCTCAGTTTCCATAGCTCTAAAATGGCCCAAAGGACCATGGAGGTGTTCACTGGGGCCATGTTTATAAAGTGCCTGGCACGCAGAAGTTGCTCAATAAATCGTAGCTACTAGAAGTAGTAGTGGTAATAGTAGGAGGATAGTGCCAAGCATGCCTTTATTCTCTCTGCCACGGAGAGGACACAAGAAGAGTAGCTGAGGCCACCACAGTAAAGACAGAGGCTCCCACCCAGGATAAGCTGTGCAGGTACAGACCAAGGAAATCTTCAACCGAGCAAAATGCTAACACACGCCCACACCTATTAAGAACCTTAGAATGGCAGAATGGAGACAGCTTCCCAAACTCCCGGCAAGTCAACCCACATGCCCCACAAGGGTAAGAAATCACAGGGTTTTCCCTTACCTTGGTGTTCATACAGGACTTCCCTCGCTTATACTCCTTGTGGGATCCACGCTTGTCCAATTTGTACCACAGGGCTTTGGCCTTCCAGGTGGTCACCTTGGACTTGAGCTTGGAATAAAAATTCCTGTGGTCCAGCGGGTCTAGGTCCAGGTGTCGTGTGAGGATGTTGAAGGCCTGGAGGGTGCCTTTGCACGTGGAAGCCTGGACAAAGTTCTCGAAAACTTGCCCAGCCTGGCTCTGCTTCTCGTCTTCGTTTTCCCCCATGTTTCAGGAGCTGTGTAGCGCAGTGGTATGGAGAGGCCGGAGGAGAACACCATGAAGTACCTGGAGACACGTCACACCTGCAAAGGTAGATGGAGACAGAGGTGAGCTCCATGGCAATGCAGGCGTGGGGTCGGGGGGTGTTGCTGAGAGGGAAAAATAAAACTCCTTTGGGATGTTAAGCGTACTAACCATTAATACTTAATGCTAAACATAAACCATCTATAGAAAATGTACAATCATCCCTTCTGACCTGACAATGGTGTCTTGGGGGCAATCTCCTTCTACCCCCCGCCAACACCCCACTCCTCTCGCTGGCTGTAAAGAACTACAGATTGCTCAAAGATATGGCCTGGCTGATGTCAGCATTACTTGGTCAATTTTGCTATGAGCTAGATAGTTCTAGAAATAATAACTAGTAAGGGGGGGGGGGACAAAGCAGAGAAGCATACTAGATTTTGTGAGCACCACCGAAAACCTTTAATTTGTGGTGCTGTAAATTAGTTGGCTAATATTAGTGTAATCTAGCCACGGAACAGTGCACAGACCAAAACATTCAAAGCACGTGCCTCCCTAGATTTCACGGCCTTCCCACCTATCCTAAGACACCAAACTTGAAAGTCTTCCTCCATTAGCTACCAGAGGGGGCAGGTCCTTCCCCTATACAGATGACACACGGCAACTTCTCGAAACTTCTCTCTACTCCTCGCATCTGCTGCAAGCTCAGCATCCACCTCAGTCAGACAGACAAAAAGACACAGACACACACGGGTCTCCTCCCCACATACAAAAGGAGTCTGTGCTTTGTGAGCCCAAGCTGTGAGCTATTTGGAACAAGTGCTCAGGCCGATGGAAGGAAAAATGCGATGGGTATTCATTCACATCACGAAAATAGCTCGCCTGGGTTTTGGCCATTGGCCTGTCTCTCTGCACCACTTTAACCTCAGGCATTTCTTAGGAAAGTCATTCAAGTTTCAAAGGAACAAAAATAAGTTAGGGTCGATTTTCCAAAGCAATAGCTATTTTTCCAGAATCCAAAGCTAGTGCAAGAAGACAAGCATAGAGGAACTAGGGCTGCCCAGCTGTCCAGAGGGCTCGAGAGGGTCGGTAAACAAGAGGATACAGCATACCAAGCTCCCCGAGACAGAGGCCTGGAGGGAGGAGGTCAGCAAACACAGAGACAAGGCCCTTGGGCTGGGTGGCTTCCCACTCTCCAGACAGAAACACTATTGTGGGTACATTTGGATTGTGCGCTGGCCATATGGTATTAAAAACAGAGAATGGTGTTTGTTTTCTTTCATCCTTTACTCATCCATTCAGCAACAAATCCTGGTGCCTAAGCAAGAGCCATGCATCACCCTAGGTCCTGGGGATGCAGAGATGGGGCCTAGTGAGGAAGACAGGTGTATAGAGTTGATTATAAGACAACAAGCAAGCGCTTTTAAAAGATGAACATGGTGCATGGAAGCCACATAAGGAGGTGTCCAACAGAGCCTACAGGTGCCCAGAGGAGCCACAGGGTGGAGGGGGGCTGGGATGCCCAAAACACTACAATTTTAGGAACAAGGTAAATTTCATTAGAAGACCAGGGAATAGAAATTCTCAGGCAAAAGAAACACCATACAGGCATGAGTCTGGAAAGAGCCAGGACAGCTGCAGAATGAGAGCAAGTCCAGGGCGTCTAGAGTTCTAAACTCATGACAAGGGGTGATGGGTGCATCCAAGGCAGATCATGGAGGGGATCTGGCTTCTCCCGTGGGCTGCAGGGTGCAGGAGATAAAGCAGCGGACCTAGAGGAGTCTCTGTGCGGAGGTGGAGATGCATGGGAGAGGGAGGCGGCCATGAACAAAGCCACCGGGAGAGCCCCGGGAGAGAGCCCCACACACATGAAGGCTGTACGGCAGCCCCGTGGGTAGCAGCTACAGGGAGCAGCCGGCTGGGGGCAGACACCCAGACGCTGCTGGCTGAGGGGGCACCGGCAACAGCGTGGGACCCCTCCCCCTCCTCCCCTCCACCCCAGGAGCCTCCAATGGGCCTGGCACCGTGCTCGGCTGAAGGCCCATTCCCTGCTCCAGGCCTAGCCAAGTTCCAGTCTTCAGCCAGGCCTCTGTCCTCCAGGAGCACTGACCTGGCGGCTCTGTTCCCCGCACCTCAGCAAAGCCAGAACACGTGGAGAGCGCGGCCTGTGCTTTGCCAGGTGCTGCTAAGACATGGATTCCCTCCCAGAGGGTCTCTCAGCTCCTCAAACCTCTGCAGTGCTCACTTCGGCATCACTCACATAAACACTGTCTCCTACTGTTTCATCAGCTCTCCGCCAGGTACAGGACTTGCCACCCAGAGAGCATAAACAGAGAGCAAGACCCGTTTGCTGTTCAGAGCGAAGGAGCATCCTTGGTCTCTATCTTTGGAGGCACTCTGCGCCCAGCATTGAGCAAAGGATCCAGTCACTGACTGAGAGATCCACAGCTACTTGAATTCTGCTGCCCTCCTGCAGTCCATTCTGGGGATGGGCTGGTGGTGCAGAAGAAAGCCACAGGCTTCAGGGCGAGTGGAGCCCACGTCCAAAGCTCGGCTTGGCCCCTGGCTGCCCTCATGGCCTCACATGAGCCACAGGAGCGCTGAGCCTCAGTTTCTTCTTTTGTAAGGGATAATCTCCACCTTGCGGGGTTGCTGTGCAGAGCAAGAGAGGTGTGTGGTGGCAAGCCCGGCCCTGGGAGGTGCCTGGCAGTGGTGGAAATGGGTGCTGCATCCCTCACGTGGGGCAGATTTGTGTCTGGGGAATGTACCGGTTTGGAAAAATACTTCTGTAAATCAACTCTTCAAGTTGCCAACTCCTCCCTGTCTAAAACGGTGAACTGGTTAGAGATATCAAGCCAAACCTGACTCCCAGAGAATCATTTACGAACTGGAAGAACCTGTCTCCTTCCAGCTCCAGCTGCCGCCCCTCCTCCCCCCAAAGGAAAATGAACAACTTGATCTTAGGGCTCCAGTGGAGAGCCAAAGGGGGTGCGGAGGGTGCTGGCTGGGCGTGGGGGCCCCAGGAGCTTGCTCTTATCTAGAGGGAGCTACCTGGGGCAGTGGGGGTGGTGGAGAGAGATGGCGGGACAGCAGAGAGCACTGCCTTGGCCTATCCCAGCAGCTCGTACCAGCCCCAGACCTGCCTCCCCGGTCTGAAGGGTCTGGTCTCAACCTGTACAATCAGCTTTCCAGTTGAAGTCAAAGACCTTAAAAATGACTCTTACATCCATGCAGGCTATGTTTCCTCCGGAAGAGCCTCAGAGTGTTTAGAGTCTGCCAGACGAGGGTGTGAACCTGGTCTCACGCACCAGCAAGGCACATGACGTATCTGTCTGTTTCCTCATCTGCAGAATGAGATGATCATACTCGCGTCATAGGGCCATAAGGAATGAACTCCATCATGGATGTGACGTATTTAGCACCTGGCAGCTACATGGTAACCAGCAGTAATTATGATTCCTCAAATGGCCCAAACATCAAACCAGAAGGATGGGGCCAGCTGCCCAGGTCAAGGAATTATCTGTACTTTAAAACTAGAAGCCATGGGCTTTCAACTCAGACGATGTGGGTTCAAATCCACTTCCTAGCTGTGTAGCCTTGGACAACTCACTTAATTTCTGAGATTTCAGTTCCCTCAAATATAGAGTGGGGAAGAAGGAAGTTTCAGTAATGAACTGAAAACATCCTCGGTACAAGGTAGTTCTGTTAATGAACTAGAAAGGCTGACTTGGAAGGGCTCTGGGAGTCTGAGTCTGAGCTCCAAGCCCCTTTCCAGACACTAGAGTGGAATTCTTCTGGTAGATACTCTTTCTCCTTTCCCAAAAGAAATTCAAGGATTGGTTAAATCAGGGGATCCTGGGTAGTAGCTCTTGTTAAAATTTTCCTTGTCAACCACCACCCAGCTGTTGCTTTTTAGAGTTTGATATGAAATATAAATAAAACCACCCAGACATATGAAAGGTTTCTGCATTTTCTGGGAAGAAACAAGACGTGATGCTTTAGTTTCCAAGAATAGCCTTGAAGCAATTTGGTTTTTGCCAACTGGAGTCCCTTATTTGTGGTTCTGCCTGTGTGACTTGGTGAGTCACAAAGCCAACCCCCTTTCCCTGCCCCTGGCTGCTACAAATTAAAAAACCTCAGGGCCTCCAATTGCTGGCAACAGCATGAGGAATGGGCTTGGTCCAGGGCATCTGGGAGACAAGTTCAAGGTTGACACAGAGTCCCTAAATACCTCTCAAATGAGAGAAGGAACCTCCTGGCTGAAGAGCTTCCAGTGCGCTCCCATTTAGGAACCCTTCTGCCCCCGCCTTCTGTCTTCCCTGGGCCTCATCACCTGCCAAACGGCATCGAACAGGGTGACCAGGTGGTGGATGAATGACAGAGTTCTATAAAAATTTGAGCGCCGGAGGGACACTAGGCAGAACCTTCTCACAAAGCAGCAGTCTGGCCCAGAAGAAAAGCTCAGCCCTCAACCACACCCTCAAAACTCAAAGGCAATGTCTCAAGGTAAACATAATCTAAAGATGAAGCTCTTGGGGTGGGGGTGGGGGGCAGGTGAAACAGGAGAAGGGAATTAGGAGGTATATACTTCCAGTTATAAAGTCAGTCGCAGGGATGAACACGACAGCAGGGGAAACAGAGTCAATAAGACTGCAGTAACTTCGGATGGCCGCAGACGGTGACTGCACCTGTGTGATGTCCACTGGAAGCCTCAATACATCGTGTCAACTTGTACTTGCGTTAAATAAGTAGATCCAATAAGAACCAGACAATAAAATCCAGACGCCCCTTGCCATGGACACTGCCAAGCTCCCCATTCAGACTTACCATCTCCCAGGCACCCCACCAATGAGCCCCCAGGCAGGGCCAGTTTCCTAGGCAACAAAATGAGGCTGTTCACCCCCCAAGCACTCACAGGGTGGTCAGAAGAACTAGAAGCCCCAGCTCCGAGCCTCACACACAGAAGACCCTCAGTCACAGCAACCTGCCCCCAACACCTGAGGTGAGTCTAGAGGCAGCCGGGGAAAGGCCTCCCACATATACTGCATCTCTGCAGAGCCCA